ATAATTTTACTTGAATACATCTAAGGCCACGCGATATCGCCTTATTTCTCAAGCTTTTTTCAGATTGGAAAATTGAAATCGTGAGAATTTCGAAATTTCATAAATATTCTTTTCATAATTTTACCAGAATACATCTAAGGCCACACGATATCACCTTATTTCTCAAACTTTTTTCAGATTGGAAAATTGAAATCGTGAAAATTTCAGAACGTCGAAATTTTATAAATATTCTTCACGTCATTTTCATAATTTTACCTGAATACATCTAAGGTCGCGCGATATCGCCTTCTCTCTCAGGCATTGCATAATCGTATCAGCGACAAGTATCTAATTACAATACCGTATTATTCCGTGTCCGTCAATATTTCCAAGTCTTCACGTCAATTTACGTATCCTGCTCACTGAAACGTTTCCCTGTGAGCATTCGACACACTTGACTCGCAGCCTATAGGTGCACGCTGTAATCAGCGAGCCGGCGTAACCGCGATATAGAGATGTATTACACGTAAGTCGAGGGACAGTCTGCTTAGTAACGCGGTAGTTCAGACTGGCTGAAATTCAGTAAGTTTGAACGTGGCCGAGCCGGGAATTGAATTAACAAAGTTCATTTTCATTCTGGCGAAGGACCGCAAGGGGGGCCAGCAAGTGAAGCGGTAAGAGACCAAGAGTATTCCTGCGCCAGAACTGCTGCTGCTGGTTGATTCGGCGAGTACAAAGAAAAGAGTGACATAAACCTGATCTTTTGTAACATCTGCAAAAAGAATTGCCTCGCAGATCTCTTCGGGGAACGCTTCAATAATTGTTCTCGACCTTGTTAACTTTTAATAATTTCAAAACTTGTTTGTAATTTAACAAAAATTGGCGAAAAAATTGTGGAAGTGTAAAGTTTATAAACTGAAATTTTTTTAGGTCAAAAGTCTTTTTTATGGACTTTGTATGATATGAGCCACCGGGAAACTAAAGTGACTAACTTCATAAAATGAAATTGGTTAAATTTGTTTTATTTATGAAAAAATAAGCAGAGCAAGTATGCTCATATAGTGAAGAGATAAGGATATGAGGATTTTAGGATCTTCTCTAATCTACAGAAAACACTATACCACAAAATTTTATCATCGACAAATACGTATTCACAAAATGTTTGCTTGAGAGATAATTAGAACTTAATTTTTACGCAAGCGTCGTCCTTTAATATTGAAATATTCAAACTTAAATTATTTATTATCATTCTGAAAAATAATACTCGAAAAATATGTAATCAAACAAAACTATAAAAGACAAAATTCTCCGCGTGCAGCGATATCGAAGGAACTGAAATTCGATCGAGCTATCCGATCGCAAAAGGAGCACTCCCGCAAAATTCGCCACAATGCGAGAAATATTTAGCCGCGTAGGCTGCGAGCAGTCGAAACTGATATAGGACCGCTGATAATTTTTCGCGAGTTGGTTCGTAACGTTCGCGATCGCAGCCAAAACCGTCTTTTCCAATTTATTCGAGAGGAAACGCGAAACGGGTATTGCGGACGCAGTCCGCGATTTAATTAGGGGAACAAACACCGTGTATACAGTACGTAAAATTGATTTTCAAACATTTGTGCGGTTACGTGCTTGGACGCTCAGCGGCGACCGCGAGAAAAGCGTAAACTGAAAAACAAGAAAACACCGGGTGCGCCGTGGCATGGTTTCGTTTTACAAACATATGTACATCCCGATCGCGAATTAATTGAAAAATGAACAAACGCGAAAGAAATTGCCGCCGCCGTTCGGAGTAACAAAACAACGATTTTTCCCTGCGTTGCACAATTAATTGATCCGTAAAATACACACGCAGTATGGAAATACAGTGGTGCACCCATAGGCGTTCGCATTTTTGCACACTTAAACCCCCCCGCAATTCTCGGAGATGGGACATCGGAGTGGTTAAGTTTCCTCCCAAATTCGGCTGTTTCTTATATATTTGAATTTCGCGCCATTGCTTATTGTACGCAGCGGCAATTCGCAAGCAATCGCGTTTACACTTTCTCACCTCTCTTACCCGCCACGATAAAGAAAATTGCAAATGTACGCTAAACCTGTAAATTGATTCGAAACGAACATGGAGATTTAAAAGAGTAAATAAATAAATGAACCGCGTATAAGTGAAACCGCGTTGTATACGCAACATATACCAATGGCACGTCCCTTCTTCCCTCTTATCTCCAAACTACCCCGAATCCCCCTAACTCTGTCCCAACCTTCATCGTGGAGCAAGTGCTCAATACATTCTTCCATCCCCTTTTGAGCAAAGATAAAGCTCGAACGGCGGCCAGTCCTGGGTGCCTCCGGTCTAATTTCGGTGCGCAGCAAACCGAAAGCGAGCAAGATCCTCACAGCAGACCCAACGTCTTCGGTATTTAATAAACATTCCAGGGAATTCCTTAGTTTTGCTGCAAGCCGATGCCGCTGGACAAAGGGGATGGGATGGACTAGCTTGAGGCTGAAATTTTTTCGTGGCCAGGTCATGGCAGGAGGAGGAAGATAAGAGGAGCCAGTTCAATCTCCACGGAGGTCAGTTTGTGGATGATTCGATAGGGATGTATGAGGGCGAACGTGGTGCTTGATATCTGGTTAATCCTTTCAACTTTTCGCACACTTTCCTCTTAATTTTTCCCCTTTGCGCACTTCCACTTGAATTTAATTCTCGAACGGCGAAACAGAAGATTTTCTGGCCGCGATTGAACATCTATCGTCATCACGTGTGTTACGTACTAAAACCTGCCGCAACGAAAGGGTTAAGTTGCGAAAGTAACTGAATCGTTAATAGGGGACAAGTTTGCCCGCGAAGTTCACTGTGCTCGCGTTCTTCTGTCGTATACCTCTCTCCTATCTTTCATTAGTTTTTAGTCATCCTGCCTCCTTTCCTTAACTGTAAACAAATCCGCATCATCCTAACGTTAGTCACCCCGAAACCTAGACCTCCACATCATCCTTTACTCATCGCTGAACCTAGACCTCACCCTACATTGACCTCTGAGACCAACCCCTACTCTCGTACTTACCGAACCTATATCTAGAAACCTTTTCCGTCGAAACAGCAGATTTTTGTCTAGTGGTCTTCACGCACCGAACGTCACCGAACTGTCGAATAAAGTCGAATAGTACTACGCGCTGTTTTCACCGTCTCTCTTCCTCTTTGTCTCCACCTCTTCCGTTCTTGTATTCCGTGTACTAATAGTTTATTAAGCGACAAGTACCACGGAACATCGACATAAGTACAATAAATATCGTTAGCGGACTACGTATTCGGTATTTCAACGGCGTGCGCAACGGCAAAAGGACTAATCTCTGATCTTCGAGGAAGAAGCGGGAGTTAGGATTTGTAAGGGTTTGGTGTACCAAGGGCAGAGTTCGAGGGTAGCAACGAACGTGTTGAAGAAGAACATCGAGAAGTTGAAACGTGCGTTAAAAAAAGTGGGAGATCCCAAAAATCGGGATTTTTCCCAAGAAAATGGAAACGAAGAAATATGCCGAAAGGTGCGATAAGAATCGATAGAAATTTCTAGCCACTTTAACGCAAGGGAGAGGAAAATACTAGCGGGAGAGACGCGTTAGTTGGTAGAAAAGCTGGACGAATATACGCGAGGAAAGTGAATCGAGGAAAAGAGAAAGAAGAGTTGAATGAAGGAGATGACAAAGGTGGTAGCATAAGATAGGCGCAGATAGAGATATTCAGAGATGCAGCCCGGCTACTCTGTGTCACTGCGCCGAGACCCTATGCGTCGCTGAATTTACATAAGCGGCTTTTCTCCGGGCAAAGCTTTTCTCTTGGTCCTAAACAAATATTGACTGGGGCCACTTCCGACTCTCCTCGCCACCTGTCATCCTCAAATGG